CGACATTTTGTTGTTTCAGATTGAAGTTAATTTTTTCTTATTCGCTTTGTTTTTAAAAGAACTTACTTGCGATCGGTAAACAGCTGAAATCGAACTTTAACACTCGCACTCCACTTATATACTCGTATTTCCCTCCATGTGCTCCATGAAATGGCTAAGTCTCAACTTAAAGGGCACATGGATTTTAGCATTTAACTACTACAACAATTTACAAAGCTTATCTGTTCAATATGAATGCAAAGTGAAAAATCAAATCGCAATCTACATGCTGTTACTGCCGATTCCTCGCCAACGTCCTCTTATACTCGTACGAGTATATATAAGTATGAGCGCTCACACAAAGCGAACTGCTAAGACCGGCCTTGTATAATTGGGACTTGGACTTGAAACAGTGGAATGCTTTTGAGAAAAAGCGACATTATTGTTGTTATTTTTATTGTTCTTGTTTCTTTTTTTCTGTTTGTGGAAAAAGTGGAGAGACTTCGCCAATTGTTTATGTTTTTCTACCTAAATAATCGTGAGAACATTTCTCTGTTGGCTGTTTTTTTCTTATTGCAAAATTTTTCAAATCAAACACGAAGAAAAATTGTCAATTTTTTATTGAAAAATGTTTGTAATTATATGAATATTTAAGAAGCTTAGTTATTCAAAAGAAAACTTTTTAAAAGAAATATTAAAAATCTGATTTCACGTCAACAATATTTACTACATTAATTAAAATAGATATTGCAAATGCACTCTTTACTAGGTGGACTTGCTCTCTTAATGATATATTCTTCACATCTAACACAATTATAATTCTAGAATGGTTCGAATAGTAATGAGGAACAACAAAAATTTAACTAATTTATTAAAATTTGGCCGACCATACAACGCTGTTTCGAGTATTCCTAAGTACTCATTATCAGTGTCTAAGGAAATATTCGAATTTTTATTTATGCTAAATATTTTATAGTCCGTATATAATTTGTTGGATTGCAAGTGCCATCGAAAACATATTATATATATATATAATTTATTAAGTGCAGCGCAAGAAGTGATAAATAGTACAAAAAAGCCCTGAGCGCTTTTACAAGGCTTAGTAAAGTGTGGAACTCCAATACCTATATGTTACGCACAAAGATAATAATCTTTAAAGCATGCGTTCTTTCAGTTGTTCTATATGGTTGAGAGTATTTATCAACCGCTGTCTGCGCAGAAGTTTGCGTATTCAAACAGAATATCAAATTAATACCTTTGGACCAGAACAAATGTAAGAGATGTCAACCTTGAAAGAAATGTCGCAAAAGAAAATTTGGATGGATCGAAAGGCTCCTACCGTAATTTGTCAATAGGCGTTAGTATACAACCCGCAAGGTAGCAGAGAAAGAAGTCGTCCAAAAACAAAATGGAGAAAGTCAACGTAAAATGAAATAAATACCGTTTCACACCCCCTAGGAAGAGGTATAAGCAACATTACTGATATAATGGACATAGCGTTGCGGCGCGAAAGATGCAAGCGACTTATAGACAGCCTATATATAGAAACAACAGCTATACAACAATACCAACACTAGAATAAATTGAAAATTGGGAAATAAAAGCGCCATTAGGCTTGAAAAATTGTTTAGAAATCAATTTTAATTATTGTAAAATTGTTCTTTTCTTTTGTTTTCAATTTGACGTTTTAGTAAAGTTGCTCTTTATTTCCGAATTGCTGTTGTTTCGGGTTTTTAGTATTGTTATCTAACTCTTGGACTAATTTTTTTTATTGTACAATATATATTATTCAATTATAAATAAAAGATAATATTAAAATAAAATAAATAAGTAATAATTGCTATGACAGCAACACCAAAATTAAAATTGGCAAAGAAAACTGCCAGTTGGTTTGAAAATTTGTTTAGAAAACCAGAACAATTTCACATTTTAGGGGAATTTTACTTTCCTTCTATTTTTAATTTAACGTTTTAGTAAAATTGATTTTTGCATTCATTGACTTATGGTATATCAATTATTACTATATAATATATGCAAAATTAAGTTAAAGTGATAATATATTTATAATTCAAACTGAGAGAGTGTATTTACAATACAATATTGAGCGAGATACAGACGTTTTGTACTAATTTGCTTAAATTCAGAATTTGACTTCTTAATACATGAAACCAAGTAAACATAGTAAAAGTGAGAGACTTGAACATACTATTAGTTTAGTATAATTCTAATACTGAGCAAGAGACTGACTGACAAAGACCACTATGTATATTGTATTTTTTGGAATCCCTTATTCAAATATACTTCTATATATTTGTAAATTTTTATAGAAAACTATATCTCAAAAATTTTATAAATTATTTTTTTTTTGTGTATAATAGACCTTGTTATACAGAAACATTTCCTTTGATAGAATTTTCAATCCATTATTTATCGCTTTTCTACTACAGTAGTAACTCCACCAAAAAAATTTTTTCATATTCTTTTTAAGAACAAAAATTTAGTGGTTCAACATTACTTATACGCCATGAGGTTTGTATATAAATTTTATTCATATAAATTTGATATTTTCTTTCAACATTCAATTTGGGTTGTCTTTTTTAATTCAAGAAACAAACAAGTACCATAGATGAGGGAGAAAATCTCATTTTTCAATATTTATCGAAATATAGAAATTTGACTTTGTAACCATTAAATTAAAGGTATAAAGGTAAGATCTATAACCTTACGTTTAACTGGAGGTTTGGACACATGAATAATGTGATCCATGTAATAGTATTTAATTATAATTATCTAAATGTTGTTTATTTACATAGTTTATTTTTACATTTCCAATTTTATTTATATCCCTATTGCTTCATCTTATATAACAATGTATTTCATATATTATATACTTATCAGTTTACGTATGGGGGTAAATTACGCCATCACCTACATTATAGTGTGTTGGGCTAAGTATATATCTTTTTGTTTTGGCGTATCTCCAGCGACTAGCCTTCACCGTGTCCAGATATTGTCATTAGGTAATACACCTTGGGTATGGTTTTATAACCATGTAAATGGTTATGGAACTCTGACAGTGACGAAGCTCTAGTTAGTAGATAACTGGTGGTTTGGGCACATGAGTAATGTGATTTAAACAAGGTATAATTTGATAACAAACTTTTTTCACTGTGGCAAGAATTAATATTCTTTGAAAAAGGAGACTTGTAAGTATATAGAGTTATATGGATGCAATTACCAATAAAAAAAATATAATGGTCATTATAGTTAATTAATTTATCTGTTTGCAAAATATACTGATCCAAAATTGAAATTATACGTCAGAATTTCAACTATTTAAATAAATTGTTTTTGAGATTTTAAAGGCTTTATGATTGCAGTATCAGTCCCTTGTATAGACTTTCTTATGACACTCCACTTTTCATTTTTTTTATATCACTTTGATACAAGAATTGCTTATTATTGTATACTAAACATTTTAAAAAAATAATTACGTATAGAAACTTAAATAAAATGTAGCATATTTTTTGCAAACATTTAATTGACTTCTTACATATTTTTTGTGAAAATAGTACATATTACATATTTTTCTAATAGTATCTAAGATTATTTTCATATCATTAAATTATTCTAACATTTTAGATTTTAAATGTTCATGAAAATGATATATAATTTACAATTCTCTCAGAGAAATCATTATTTCTGTATATGAAATAATAACCCGTCGGCGATATTGATTCACATAGTGTAAAGTTTGATATATTTGAAAAAATATAAAATCGAACTATAAAAACCTTTTATAATACATTAAATATTAATTAATAAATTATATTAAGTTAAATTCATTACAAACACAATTATAATGAATATTTTTGCAATAACCTACAGAGCTTACTATTCATAATGCTATTAAAAAAGTCGGGTCAAATAGTTATATTTGTGATATTTAAAATCCAACTCGTCAAAAACGTAAAGGTACGACTGAAAATGTAGATATTGTGAACAGAAGCGTAGATAAGAATCGATAAATTAAATGTTATTCTCAAGAACATTAACTTTAGACCTGCAAAACTTCATAAAGATTTGCATTTTAAGGCAAATGAAATTCAGTTGACCAAAAACTTGAATCAAATGGGTATTTTTTACGTTGAAATTTTGCAACTTAAAACATTATACCATGGAGAAATCATCTTGAACGATATAGTTTATTTCTGACTGGATAATGGTTACCTTAATTATCAAAACTATTACATTTAGAGTGAAGTAAATCCATATATTGTACATGAAACACTTTTTCAACCACAAAAACTAACAGTTTGGAGAGGTTTATAGTTTGAAGGTGTAATAGGACACAGATGAGTATTCAAGGTAAACAAAATTCAGGGCTTTAACAGTGACTATATCCAGGTTTCACAGGGTATAACACACGTGTCTTCAACAGTAACGTGTAGCTATACTATAACATCGGAAACAGAAGGTGACTTGAACAGTAATCTAACGTGTTGGACGCCCTGAACGCTTTAATAGTGAACGGGAAAGGTCGTTTGTCATTGGTTCAGTTTTATCTGTGGTTTAGTTTATCTTCAGTTCAGGCATCAGAGTAAAACGGATGTGACAAGGCCTCAATAAATAAATTTTCTTGTGAGGACCTTGGGCAACGCTGATTTTATCCCAACTCTAAACGAACCATAGAAAAAAAGTTGATTACAGTAGTTTCAACAAAAATTCCATTATCATATGACACAATTACACTCTGAGAGAAAAGTTATAAATATATAACACTCATTTTATCTTTCCCGATATTTTAATTTTTATCTACAGTTAATTATATTTCTAAATCATGAATTTTACTATTTTAAAGTACTTTTCTATTGGCTCATTTTTTACTATCCTCCCTATTTTAATTTCATTTTTTTAGTTTTGGATTTAATTTATATGTTATTACACTATATGTATTTAATTTTAATGAATATCATTTTATTATATTTTAAATAAAAGAAAAATTAAGCTTTACAACTCACTCTATCATATTGATAAAATGAACGACTTGGTCCAGCGCGGCCATACAAATATGGATAATAAGCACCGTACATTACTTCTGGGCAGGACACTGCCATCCTCGAAATCCGAATTACGAATTCTGATTTTTAATCAGAGTTTCTCTATACGTAAATATTTTAGCTAATTTAGTACATACGTATATCTAAAACGATTTTTAGATAAACAAATAATTTATACTCGTATATTATTTTTATGCACATATATCATAAAGCATTTATTTATAACCACAATGTTTTTGGTAAAAAATATTCACAAAAAATCACGTTTTTTTTTTTTAATTAATTTAATATTATTTACGTTTGTTAAAATCACCGAATAAATGCGTTTATTCGCTTGTCTTCACGATTGCTCAGTTCAGTCCCGTAACAATGGCGGAACAATGGCCAATTTCATATACTTTTATGTTTCTATTATTATGCTCCAATTATGTATTGTTATTACTGCTATTATATTTAATTTTTATATTAACTTAAATACTTTTTTTTTATTAATAATGCTTAACTGTAATTTTTAGGTTTTTAAGTTGAAATCACTTTTTTTTATTAATTTAAAACACTTTCATACATAATCATACACCATCGCAGCAAGGGTTCCACAAGTTCTGATCTGAAAAAGAAAAAAGTATTTATATATTAAATGAACTCACTTATATTAATATATTATTGTTATTTTTTTTTGAGATTTTAAAGAACCAATATTTTATTTATTTCACAAGAAATAATACATATACTTTAACATATACAAATTGATAATATCAGAGGCAACATTTCAAGAGAAAATCGACTTATATTCACCTTTTTTTGAAGGTATGTAAGCTGTACACATTTGACCTTATATTGTTTTATTTATTACGGTTTATATATTGTATCTATATTTTATGCGTTTTCACAAAGAAAGCCCAATCCTTCCTTTTACGCAGATATATATTATACAAAATATTAAAAATAAAACCAAAGTTTTTTTTTTGCACAGTTGTGCGAAAATGCCATAAAATATTAGCTATTAATATATCTTTTTTATTAAGTTTTTCAATATTATTCATATGAACATTTTTGTGGTAATATGTTATTGACAAATAACTAATCTATAGCTTCAGTGAAACTAAATAACTACATACTATATGTGTATGAAATTTTATAAAAACTCACGGTACGTTTACACTAACGCAATTAATTCGGTAAATATACAACAATAAGTCGGATTTTTTATACAAAATCCATACAAAAACATGCATTAAGGTTCTACAATTATAAGTGTAAACAGATTATTACATTACTTTTATATACATACGAAAAATAATTGGTAAATTTTTCTAAGAAACTGTCTCCCATATTTCAAACACTACATTTTCAATAAGTATTTACTTTGTTAATGAAATTATATTATAAATAATGATATTAAATTCAAGATATACCTATATCTATATATATATATATAACATTAAGGAATTATAGTAATTTATTTAAAAATCGGAAAGCGACAATTTTAAGTGCAGTTTTGGAGCACAATTGCTTGACAACTATGAAGGCAATCCTCTTCTAATTTTTATCTAAGAGCTATTAGCGAAAATCACACCAAAACATTTATAATGCATTTATAATGCAGTAAAAGAAATACAACTTAATATCTAATAAATCAACAACAGCCACAATTCACAGCAAGTAATAAATAATTATAATAATTATAATCCCCAAATTAGTGGAAAATCCTTTATATTCCCTTAACATATTAAAGAAAGAAATTAAAAGCGACGTGCAACGATTTTATAGAAAGAACTGAATGGAGTTCTCATTTAATAAAATTCAATGGAAACTTATGTGTGACTTTCCAAAGATCCTGACAAAAATATAATAAATATAATAAAGTTATAATAACAAAAATAATACTAAAACAATATTACCAATAATATTACCGATATATATATATTACCGATAAAATTAACTCAAAAATATAAAAGCATTGTCCTATTAAAAGTTTTACTTGTGACTTTTATAAAATGTTACAGTAACAGGCTATTTAAAACCGGATAATGCTTTAATAAATATCTGGTCTTGCTAGGTATAATGCAAAAATCCATCAACGTATACTGCTTTGTGGATTAATTATTCACAATTCAAACTATGATTAGCGATTATAAAACAATCGATCAAATTTGCTATTTGCTATTTAAGGTACTTCAATGCCAAGATGGATCTATCATGCTGGTGCAGCACTCCATAAAGAAGAAAAAAATTTGTTGGATAATTTCCATATATGTTTCAATCGATATCTGGGTTAAACATTTCAAATTAATAATTATTATTATATAAATATTTTAACATATTATGTTTTTGAGGTGCTTAAAAAAATATTGTGTCCAAAATAGGAACAATTAAGCTCCCGAAGTCGCTGTTATAACCCCATAGCTATCGTTGCTGGATGATTACCTAACATGATATCTTAACCTGTGCCATAATCTTAACAAAATAGATGTACCTAACATTAACTCTGTTCGGAAGGAAATAAGATTTCTACTTGCATTGTTGACCTTTATGAATTGATGGATCTAATGTCTTTGTATCTGCCTGTGTTTAGGTTTAGCGAAACTCTGTGTTTTTAGGTTCTTGAGTGTTAGGTTATTGTGACTGTCAATTATGTTGAACAGTTTCAGTGCACGATCTTTAATATATTTTTCGACTGAATCGATTCTCAGATCTCTATGTATATTCGCTCCTCTTATGTACCACGGGGAGTCAACCACAATTCTAATACATAATAGTAATTAGGATAAAATGTTCTTAGACTTGTCATTCTTTCTATACACATTTTATCAAACTATCTTTTTGATATCGGTACAAACAATGGTTATGTTCAAAAACAATAATATTATACAAATTATATGTATTATATATATGATTTATTCAATTATGTTAACTTAATACATATCATGGACTTTAGTAATTTATTTTTGTATACTTTGAATGCAATGAATTGTACCTATTAAGAAACTGTATTTGCAACATTTAATTTTTTTACTTTGTGTTTATTGTGTTAATAAATAATTATTTATATAATTTGATAATCGATGTTAAGTGAATAAATAATTATTTATATAATTTGATAATCGAACTTATCGAAGTTTAGTTAAGTAAATAAATAATTATTTATATAATAAATAATTTAGTTTACTATCCGCAAGTTAATTAAAAACAGAATTATGGTTTAAATAAATTTTCTGAGGTGGAGATTTCAGATAATTGAACTTATTTAAAAAAAAATGTTTATCTTATTAAACGGTCATATTGTATTAATAATGAATATACATATGTAAAAATATAATTTTCGATTTAATATCCGCTCCACTCTGATTGACCTAATAAAGACTCTAATAAAGTATATCATTATAACATAGAAGTAATTATCAAATACACACAAATACAATCTTGTGAATTAAATTAAATAATTTTTAATTGTAAATTACTTCACTTGCAATAAACCTTAAATAAATCCAATTATTTTTTTAATTCAATTAATCAAATTTATTTGAATAGTAATTATTTTTAGTTAATTAAAGTAAAATATTTAAACGAAGCAATTTCGATAATGATAAACGATGTTATGTGCACATAACATTTTTAAAATTTTATTTCTGGGACAAACTAGTAAAATACCATAGCTCTTTATAATAATAATATCTGATATTTAGAGTAATATATACTCAATTTAATTAACAGATTAAAACTTTTATTTAGTTGAATTTGCAATAATTTATTTAACTGAAACCATAACAATATTGACATTATTTTAGTATTATATTTTAAAAATGCAATATATTTTAATTACAAAATAATAAATATTAAATTTAACAAAATTTTTAATTAAATTGTACTGATGTTTCAGAAATATTATTATTAATATTTCAATAATATTATTATTTATTAATATTAATAAAGCTTTCAGTTTTACACGCATTGTACTTCGTTTAAAAGTTTAATTATGAAAGAAGTTTTATGAATATATTTTAGATAAGTACACTTCTTATCTTGGGAATCGGATATCTCAATTATTCGCTTATTGCTTTTTAAAAATATATAAAAACCATTTACATGTAATTATCATTGCGTTAGGAACAACTATTTGTTAGTTATTTTTAATGTATTATATGTTTCATTAATCAGTTTTATTTTTTTTTTACAAAAATAATAATAAATACTTCCACTAAAAATTACAAAAATTACAAAATTATATTTTTTTTATATTACATATTTATGTTTAATTATTGTAAAATAATGTAAGATTTACCGATACACATATATCAAATATTTAGCTTTTTTCATATTAAATATATTTATATGTTGTTTTCTATATGTCATCATAATTACTTTTTTAATATTAAACAATTTTAACCATAAGTAGATGAAATGTATCATCTGAAATCAGTTATTAAAAAAGGAAACTTCAACCGGAATTTATAAATATATATGTACATAAACTTTAAGAATTCCATCAATTTGATTCCCAGAAATGCATCCAAGACTTAAAAAGCGCTAAAGTCACAATTAATTACTTTTCAAAGAAACTTAATAAAAAAAAATGATGTTTTTGTGAAAGAAAATGTTTTTCATATATGCCAATTTCACTTTTTTATAAAACCTGATTTTTAAATTTAAAATATATTTTATATTAAAATACTTTGAATGTCTCGATAATTTGTTTAACGAAAAAAGAAGCATTTATTGACTGATGTTTTATCAGTTTTATATTTGCAAAAAAAAATATTTTTTTATAAAAAATATTTATATTATTTTATTGGCAGTATTATTGTTTTTATTATCTATTATATAAAAAGTGAATAGTTTAAAAAACTTGAAGTCAATTTTAAAAGATGTAATAAAATGTTTTTAATAACATATATAAAACATATTAAATAAAATTAATAAAAAATTAATTAATATTGTGGTGTTGAAGACTAATTGAACAATTAATTTCAACTATTTTTGTAAATAAAAATTGATAAAAAGAGCTTAAATTATTTCACGCTAAGCTTTATTTAATTTTCAATATCTCACTTTAATTTAAAGTCGTTTACAGGAAACTGCCAATTTTATATTAAAATACCCATCAACATATTAAAATGTATAATG